GGGAGAGGAGTTCATGGAAATGTCATCAGTCTTACTAGACTACCTGCATTTGTGGATCTGATCACAGACTTTAAAAGTGTCTGATGTAGCTCATCGAAAAAGCAATATAATAACAACTGCTGACATTAAGCATTTAATGTATGTCAGGCACCTGTTCTTAGGCACTTACTCTGTATTCACTTGTTTGATTTTCACAACCACCCTGGGAGGTGGGCTTCACATTTAACAGAAAAGGAAAATAAAGCATAGGTAAATGCAATACATTGTTCAAGGCATGTAACAGAAAATGGCAGAGCTGGGATTCGAACCCAAGCTGTCAGGCAGGCTGACTCCTGGCTCCAGTCCTTGATTGCTATGCGACCATGACCTAATGCTGCACTAATTTGTTTTAAAAATATTAACTTAGAGTTCTTGGTATGAAAAATAGAAGGCTTGACCCAATCTGGGTATGTCAGAAAAAAGACCCTCTCTGCTTGTTCTCCATCTTTTTTTTTTTTTTAGTATGTTTTTATTGATTTCAGAGAGAGGAAGGGCAAGGGGTAGAGAGATAGAAATATCAAATCATGAAAGCAAATCATCGGCTGCCTCCTGCACGTCCCCTAGTGGGGATCAAGCCTGCAACCCTGTCATGTGCCCAAAACTGTGATCTCCTGGTTGATGGGCTGATGCTCAGCCATTGAGCCACACTGGCTGGGCATCCATCTTTACAGACAAAAAGAGGTTGGGGGGTGGAAATGTATTTTAATCACAGCAACAAAATTCAGCTTATTATAGGGGAAAACCTTTGGCCTTGAGAAGAATTAAATGCCAAGAGACTTGGGAATTTCCATATTTTGGTACTCTGTGCTTTAAGGGTAGATATGCCTGGAAATGGGATCTGAACAAATAAACATGCTGTTGATTAGATTCCCAGAACTTGTTAAACTTATAATCAGAAGTATTTGGGTTTTAATTGGTGTCAACCTAGGCCGCAGTGATGGGGAACCTATGACACGCGTGTCAGAGGTGACACGCGAACTCATTTTTTTGGTTGATTTTTCTTTGTTAAATGGCATTTAAATATATAAAATAAATATCAAAAATATAAGTCTTTGTTTTACTATGGTTGCAAATATCAAAAAATTTCCATATGTGACATGGCACCAGAGTTAAGTTAGGGTTTTTCAAAATGCTGACATGCCGAGCTCAAAAGGTTCGCCATCACTGACCTAGAGCTTCCTCAGCAGAGATTCTTCTTCAAGCTAGAATGTTAAACCCAGACATTCCATCCGAAAAGTTTAGACCATGTCAGATCAAAAAAACAAAAGTACTTGGAGTCCAGCTTCCCATTGAATGGGAGATGCCTAAACACATGGGTACCCCAAATTCCCTGGTGCCTCAGTTCTAGGAGATGAGTTATAACCATGTAGTCAGCCCCTGGCCACTGCTAAAAGGAGAATTTCAGGACAATCTACACCCATCCTGAATTAAGGGAGTTGGGTTGACCCAAAAGGTTTAGGGTTCCATGGGTATTGAGCACCATTTGCCATACCTCATAAGACTCCCCATAGTCAGTGCTCTTTTCACTTTCCTTTCTTCCCTGACTTTCCCCACATATCTACCCTATCTCCCAAGCCTAGTTCTGTTTGATGCATATTTCCTGCTTCCATCCATTTTTCAGTTCCCACAGCCAAGTATCCCATTATTTCTTCCTCACTAATCTACTTCTCCCTCCAGCATCACATCTACACTCAGTCCTTTATGCTTCTTCCAAAGTAATTTTTTTCCTACCAACTAATTTGGTGCTGTCAGTTTTCCTCAAAAGTCTATAATGTTTGACCATTACCATCTGTGGTACTCCATTCCATGACCATTTATCAGGCTGGCCCGAGCTACACCATCCATCCACCTGACACTCAGTCAGCATAACACAGCACATGTTGCCATGCTAACTTACAGTTTCCTTCAGCCAGGTTGTCACCCCACCTCTGCATTTTGCCCTTCGTTCTTTCCTTAGAATCCCTCTTCCCAGATCTTGTAAGATTTTTCTTCAAGACTTTTACTAATGATGGCTTTCATATTCAGTGTTACATACCATACATACAACTTATTGTTAAGTTTATTGTATTGAAACTTTTTCGTCTTCTTCTGGGTTCAATTCAAGTTACTGTCTTATAAATTTTACATTTTAATTTGTATGTCAGAGTATCGTTATTCATCTTTAGGATATTTGCTTCTGGTAGACCACACGGTAGGTGTTTAATAAATACCCATTGACATGTTAACCTTGGGCTAGACAACTTTGTCCTAGCCATTATACCTTTTCTTTGCCCACTTTCAAATCCTGTGTGAGATTTGGCAATATAATTACCAAGTATTTTGTGTTCTGTTTTTCTAGTAGTGTGTGTACATGCATATACACATGCACAGTTTGCAAATGGTAGCATAACATAATAAGATTATGGTCTTGGTCACTGACTACGTGACTTTATACAAATTTTTTAACCTACTTTATACAAAATTTTTAACCTACGGCAAATGGTGCTCAATACCCATGGAACCCTAAACCTTTTGGGTCAACTCAACTCCCTTAATTCAAGATGGATGTAGATTGTCCTCAGTTTCCTAATCTGTAAAATGGGGGTGATAAAGTCTACCTTAGAGAATTGTTATAAGGCTAAGGAAAATAAATGTATTCAGAATGCCTAAAGCAGTGTCTGACAAATACTAGATACTTCAGAAATGGTCATTTCTGTTGTTAATCTAGATGTTCTGTTTTAATTCATTAAGGGGGGGAAAGAGAAATGGTTCTTACTCTATACTAGACTAAATTAATATCTATTTTTTATATCTCTAGGTTGAATATGTTTCAGGAAAAGTTTTTTTCACCACCTGTTCTGACTTGAATATGCTGAAAACATTAAAATCTGCAGAAAGATTATTTTTGCTGATTAAAAAGCAGTTTCCATTTAATGTTTCTTCTGTAAGTAAAGGTATGGTATATACCCACACAATATATGTACTCCAGAATTTTCTGCTTGATAATTAATAAGTAGCCATTTGACATTTTTAAGATTTATTCCTAACTTGGAGATCATTATTTTTCTATGTTTTCTGAATATTATCACCTCATTATATTATCACCTAATTGTGTCTCTTCTCTTTACAATCTGCTGCCTGTCTTACTAAGATTTAGTGTCCTAAGTCACATTTCATCTTTGCAAATTCTGATCAGACACCTTCTCTACAGTTATATATGGTCAGTTTATTTAGATTTAGGACATGTAAGAATCCAAAATGCATTGTCTTAATAAATTGTTCAAAACTACCACCTTGTAAATTTTAACTAATGAGTGAGATAATTGAAAAAATACTGTATAGTAAAATATCCTGTTTTAGGGATCTCAAGATGTTTGAATAAACTCTTAACCATTTATAAAGCATTAGAATTAAAGGGAGCTTAAGAGATTTTCTGTTTTTATAAATATGCTTAAGGATCTTGATAAAAGCAACAAATAAGGGCCAGACATTGCTGGATTACACATTGCCTTAAACTTCATTTTGACTGCTGATTATGCACAAGAGAACATGTAAGCATATAGTCTATAATAAATTGTATCAAGGAAGATACAAACGGCAAGAAATCAAGACATGGCAGAAAAAATATTTAAAGCAAATACTAAGATGTTATATTATGGGATCAATATCATTTCATTCCAATAGTCCACACATTCTCAATATTAGAGAAATACAGTAATGGCTCTTGAGTCATCTTGATGACCCTTGTTCATCAAGAAAAGATTACATTATTTTGAGTAAGTTATGAATGGGTTGCATACCTGAAGTGTTCCTTTATGGAAACTCCTTTTATGATGTGTGCTAATACTGTATGGTCTGAAATAGTCTCAAAATTTAGTTGCTCTGTTTCTGAGCTCTGTGTTTTATAATTCTATTTTTTTTCCAACTTAATTTTATAGGCAAGATTAGCATTATTTCAAAGATTGATACACACTCTAGGTCTATGCTTATATTAAAGAGATACATATATTATCATAGGACAAATGATCTTTCTATATGAATGATATAGGTAATTCTATAGGAATTTTAAAATGGTTTTGATGTTTGGTATAGAATATAAGAATGAACCTATTTGGCACAATATTCTTATATTAAATGATATAAATTCCATACGAAAGTGAAGTCACTCTTCATGTAGTAGTTTTAAAAAAACTTATTTTATAAAAATAAAAATAATGGCATTTAGGGGTGATGAATATAATAGACTGTCTTTAAAGCTTCAATATAGGATAAACTGAAATTTTATTTATTTAGGAAAAATATTTTATGAAATGCAAAGATTTATAAGTGATGATCCTGAAAGTTGGTTGAATGCCATTTCGATTTGGAAAAATCTTCTTGAACTTGATGCAAAAAAGAAAAAACTGTCTCAAGGAGATGCTAACCCACTAAAAAGAAAAATGGGAGAAAATGACAGCATTATTGCTAAGAAATTAAAAGCAGAACAAATGCAAGAGAATAGGGAATGCCAGCTGGAAAAGCAAATAGAAGAGGAAACACTGGAGCGAGGAGATTTTCTCACTGAAAGAGAGAAATGTCAAGAAGAACTTCAGAATGATGTAGCAAAAGCAGGAGATACTCATGACCAGAATGACTTGACCTTCAGAGTTTCTTGTCGCTGCGGTGGAGCCATTGCAAAGACCCTTTCTGCACAGGTACACTTACCTCCAAAGTGGCTTTCTATTTTCTAGATAAATTAACTACTCCTTCGATTTAAAATGAGACCAAAACCTTTCACAGAATAGATAACTCGGCTCAGGCAGATAACTTGGCCTAATATAATAATTAAATCTCTTTAAAAAATGCATTTTCCATTTTAACTTTATCTCAGCTTCTTAATAGGAATAGTATGCCATGTACTGACCTCCTTTACTTACTAAGTTTTCTTAAACTCACAAGTATCTTTTGCATTTGGAAATCCTGATATCATGGTCTTAAGCTTTTTGGGTTTCTCTTCAGTTTAGTTCTGTTTATTGAGTGATTACTCTGCACCAGACCCGATAGGTGTGATTATCACTAGAACCCAGACATAAATACACTCAAGGTCTCAACTCTCTATGAGAGGGTGAACACTACAAACAGTTTCTTTAAAAAACCCATGTTAGTGACCCTTACAAAGTTCAGTGATATAAAAGGCATATAGCCATAGGTTTGGATTCTTTGTCCAACCTTAAAATCAAATCCTAAAGTCCGAGTCTGATGTTACCGATCTGGTCATTTTTAAACATATAGGCTTGCAGTAGGTAAATTAATCTTTCAGCTTGCATCCATTTCCTAAAACCCAGAATGGCTTTATCAGGTCATGATTTGGTTATTTCACGTCTTAAAAATCACAAGAATAGAGATTGCACATAAGTAGATATTACTGCCATAGAATGAATTTGGGGGTGAGGGGGATGAAAGAGGGTGTAATATTTTAATATTATAATTTAATATTGTAATTCTAAATTACCATTGGATAGTTTGCCTTGATGTTCCTGCTGACTGTTAGGAAAATCTTACATCTTACTAGAGGCCCTTTCATGCACTGGTAGGGTCCCTAGCAGCTGCCGGCCAGGTACTCCCTCCCTTCCTCTGGCTGGCCCCGCCCCCTGGTCGAACTCCCGGTTGAACTCCCAGTGGAGGGGACAATTTGCATACTATGCTTTTATTATATAGGATACTTAAATTTTTCATTTATAATATTTTTATCTTTTCTATAACTTGCTGCTTTTCCAGGAAGCAGGAAGAATAATTGGAATTGCTCTTATGAAACAGTTTGGATGGAAAGCAGATTTGAGAAATCCAAACTTAGAGGTAATGAACGTTTATTTTATTTTATATGCTTATAACCTAATTCTTTAGACAATGTCAAAACTAATCTATTGTACTTTTCAATTTTGCTTTAGAGTTTCAAACAGCATGGCTGCGTGGATCTAGCAGTCTGATTTTTTTCTTTTATAGAACAGTGCAGATAATGATGTTAATAATGGCTTTGTTATGGTTGTGGGATTATGTTTTACTTTTCTGTCTCTCTGTTTTTAAAAATTGATGAGGTTACACTGTTAATTGGAATAAAATAAAACACATGAGGAAATAAATGCAAGTTATAAAAAATAATCTTCACTATTTTTTTGAGAATCAGCTCATAAATTTGACATGTAGTAGTATAGTCATTTTCATCATTCATTTGTAAATTCATTGTTATACAGCTGTAAATGAAGTAGTTGCTAGCCAAAACAGAACATTTTGTGTTGTTTTATTTTTTTATTTTTTAATGTATTTTTCACTTTTAAAAAGTAATGCCTGGTGTATATCTTTTATACCTGACATGTAAAATACTTTGACCCCAAGAATATTCTGACATAAGGGGTCTTCCTTTCATCTCCCCCTTCTGCTCTCTGGTTTCCTCCTCTTCGTCTTCTTTTTGATTATCTTCCTGTCTCAGAATTACAGTTTTCCATAGTTTAGCTCATGAATAAATATAGCTAACTGAATTCCTATCATCCACTTAATGCAATTAATGTTAGCTATTATTGATAACAATAATCAACACAAAACAAAATTGGCAACACGAAAATCACACAGTAAAATGTGTGACCAAAATTGACAGAAGAATCAAATCTTAGCAAATTTTGCTCTGTGAAATTAATAGAAAAAAATTCATAGAGGGTAAAGCTATTCTTAATAACATTTGATATATAAAAATAACAGTACATCCTATCTTTACTAGAAATTTTAAATAGAATTAATCCCAATAAATAATTTTGCTAAAGTTGAATAATATAAAAAATTGAAAACTTTAGCTGTGATGATTAAGGAATTAAATTGACTAAAGGGAATTTATTTCAGATCTTTTTTTTCTTGATGAAAAGTTATCAATATTGGAATAATCCTGATTAAACTGCATATATATAAAAGTAATCTGGGAGTGAAAGTATTGTGGTTTAAAAGTTCTTGAGGTCAAACAGCAGAATTAGAATATCCCATAAACTTCATCAGATTACAGAAGTAAGATTCTAACTTTTAAAGTTTATTGGGCTACTAATTATAACTTGAGACATTTAAGAACTTTATGGTTTGACGAAGAAAGAGAGGAATAAAACCACCTACAGATAGTAGAGAGAGAAAAGGTCACCGGTGTCTACAATATATTTGACCTGAAGAAAGTTTCCTGTCACACTAATAGTATGTAGCCTATGATAGTCCTGTGTGGCCTCAACTCTTATTTGAGGTTAGAATTAGGATGGATTTAGGAAATCTCTAACCCCAAATGCTGAAAAGTCTGATTCAGTTATGATAATTCAGAGAATCTTTAGGAAGAATGTGGATCTTGAGTTCTTAATAACTTGAATCTCCATATAACTTGCCTACAAAATTAACCTCAAAATTTTTCTATGAAATGTACTTAAAATTTATTTCACCTCTGCTCGAGAAAAATAGTATGGAACATTTTTCTATATATGATAAGTAAGGCCTTGGAATTTTTTATTAGAAATATAGTTTATATAGTTCAAAATAGAAATTTTCAAATTATCATTAATTTGGTAATGCATTTTCTGTTCTATTCTAACTTATGTATTTGTTCTTTCAGATATTTATACATCTAAATGACATTTACTCTGTCATGGGAATTCCTGTGTTCAGGTATTTATTTATTTATTTTATTTTTTTAAATATATTCCTTTATTGATTTCAGAAAGGAAGGGAGAAGGAGAGAGAGAGATAGAAACATCAATGATGAGAGAGAATCATTGATTGGCTGCCTCCTGCATGCCCCACACTGGGGATTGAGCCCACAACTCAGGCATGTGCCCTGGGCCGGAACCGAACCTGGGACTCTTCAGTCCGCAGGCTGACGCCTTATCCACTGAGCCAAGCCGGCTAGGGCTGTGTTCAGGTATTTATATCTTAAACTCAGATTTATCCCTTAGGAGAGTTTTTAAAATTAAGAACTTTATGCTTTTCATTTATAGTATGAAACATTGATACAACAGAGGGGGCTAAAGACAAAGCATGTGAGTTCTTTACTTTAGCCAGTAAAGTGTTTCCATGGAGCTTAGTGGATATGATTTGATCTGACCAGTAGAGCTGTGCAAGAATTTATCACAATAATCCACTGATTGCATGATTCAGACTGAAAATTATATCTAATTATTTCTATTATTAAATGATTTTCACAGGCCCTTGTTTAAGCTAAAAATTTTAGTCTCTTTGCATCTTGGAATTTTAATTAAAATAAAAAATACAGCACAATTCTTAAAATTCACTTTGAACATTAACTGTATACAGCTATGCCACACTGTGCATGTGTAGCATAATGAATAAGAACTATGGACTTCAATTCTACCTTCTCAACAGATTAACTGCAAGTTTGGGCAGATTATCATATTCCTCTGCTATAAAAGCAGGAAAATAATAGTACCTACTTCATTTGCTTTGTGTTTGGGATTAAATGAGATAACCTGCATGAAAATGCTTGGTATGTCTGGCTGGCATGGCTCAGTGCAGTGATGGCGAACCTATGACACGTGTGTCAGAGGTGACACGCGAACTCATTTTTTTGGTTGATTTTTCTTTGTTAAATGGCATTTAAATATATAAAATAAATATCAAAAATATAAGTCTTTGCTTTACTCTGGTTGCAGATATCAAAAAATTTCTATATGTGACACGGCACCAGAGTTAAGTTAGGGTTTTTCAAAATGCTGACACGCCGAGCTCAAAAGGTTTGCCATCACTGGCTCAGTGGTTGAGCGTTGACCTATGAACCAGGAAGTCATGGTTTGATTCCTGGTCAGGGCACATGCTTGGGTTTCGGGCTCCATCCCCAGTGTGGAGAGTACAGGAGGCAGCCAATCAATGATTCTCTCTCATCATTAATGTTTCTCTCTCTCCCTCCCTCTCCCTTTCTCTCTCAAATCAATAAAAATATTTTTAAAAGAAGAAAAGAAAATGCTTGGTACTATTTCTAGGCTACAGTAAGTGTTGAATAAATTTCAACTACCTTATTTCTGAAATAGATCAGTAACTAGGGAAGGAAGGGAGAGACATTAGAGTAAGATTAATTTATTCAGTTAATTTCAGTTGAAATGTCTAATGAATACTTATTATATGCTAAGCACTGTGCTAGTTATCAACATTCAGAGATGAGGAAGATGGTTATTAAGTTCAAGTAATTCAATTTAGTGGAAGAGCAAAGGTAGGTGAAAAATGCTTGGCTAGAGTTAGAAAAGGGGACCCAACTCTGATGGAGGATGGGAGCAAATGAACATAGAAGAGATTCATTTAACGAATCACTTAATGGAGAACACTAAGGAGGGGTTCCCCAACTGGACAAGAGAAGGAAAGGACCTCACAAGCAAGGACTTGCAAAGGCATGGAGGTAGAGGAAGCTTGCGTTATGTGGGGACAGCCAATGGTTTCAGTGCAGATGGGACAGGGAAGACATAAGGAAGAGAACACTAAGGAGGGGTTCCCCAACTGGACAAGAGAAGGAAAGGACCTCACAAGCAAGGACTTGCAAAGGCATGGAGGTAGAGAAAGCTTGCGTTATGTGGGGACAGCCAGTGGTTTCAGTGCTGTCCCCACATAAGGAGGGTGGTAGAAAATGAGACTGAGCAATTAGAAACAAGTCATGAAGTGTCTTGGAAGCCGTGCTGAGCAACTTGGATTTTATTCTAAAAGCAGTAAGCATATGAAGCAGTAGAGTGATGTGATCAGATTTGTGATTTCTGAGGTATTACTAAGGAAATTACATTTTTTAATGAAGGGGAAATGAAAAGAAAAAGGAGGTTCAAACTCTTACAATAGTTCAGGCAGTAAATGATGAAGAGCTGAACTGAGGCAAATTGGGGATAACAAAAAAGAAAGGCATGAATTCCATAAAAAGTTAAGGAGTCTAGAATAATGGCCAGATACCTGATTTGGACAACCAGTAGATACTGGTGTCAGTCCCTGAGATAGAAAATGTAGGAACAGTAGTGTATTCAATGAAAAATGTCTATGAATAGATATTTAAGTTATAGCTCAGGAGTTCCAGTGACAAGTCTAGGCTGGAGATTTAGATTAAGATACACAATATATAGAAGGTAAGTGGCCCGAGAAAATGAAGAAATGTATCGAGATATGAAATACAGGGAAAGGACTGTGCACAGTTTACACCTGTTGAATTGGCAGTACTCCAGGTAAAAGTGTCCAAACACACATTTAAAAATTAAGATCTGGGATTCAGATGACAAGTCTACGAACAATAAAAACATTTACTTTGGTCACATATTAATAGGGTTGGCTCCCATAAAATAAAATCTCTATTGGTAAAAATATACACATAATTGTCAAAACTTTCAGAGGTTCTACATAAATCCCTGATGCTTAGAAAGGCACTTAGCAATATATATAGGGTGTCCCCCAAAAATGTATATGTGGTAAAAATATACACATAATTGTCAAAACTTTCAGAGATTCTACATAAATTCCTGATGCTTAGAAAGGCACTTAGCAATATATAGGGTGTCCCCAAAAGTATATGCACACTTTGAATAATTAGAAAGGCAGTGTTTATTAAAATACATATCATTTCAAAATTGAGCTATCAGCTATTAAAGTGTATATACATTTTGGGGGATAACCTGTATATGGACAAAGACAGTTTTCCATACCAAGTCTATTTTGAAATCTAAGAGTGAAAAATAATCTCTCAATTCTGGGTTTTAATATGTTTTGTAGCAAGACAGTTGCCCAGCCTAGACTGTAGTATCAAGATTCATTGATCAAAATATTTCCTAGTCATTCCACCTGCAAAGTTTATATTCCAGATTCCAAATCTATGGCTATAATACTGTCTGCAGTGTGAATTATTTTCTGAAAAACCTTTAAAAAAACAAACTCCCATGGGTTTACCTGCAGAACTTCCTTATTGTAACAGTAAATATACAATTACACTGTTTTATTTGAAAGAGATACCTCATCTAATTGTAACATTTTAAGAGGCTTACCATAAATGCACACAAAACAGGGTAACTAAAGTCAAAGACAGATCAGAAATAAAATGACAAAAGACATAGGGTTTGGAGAACATGGTAACTTTGTATAATGTTCAGAGAAGAGCCCTCCTAGTGGTTTTGGAACAAGCCTACCCCCAAAACAACCAAGCACTAATCCTCGAAATCAAATAGTCATATCTTACCAACAAATTATATAAATGAAATTGAAAAGTGCATTCAAATTTCTAAGGAATTTATTCATTGCATTAGATGCCGTAGAAATAATATTTTGAAAATTTTTATCAAATCTGGAAACACTGATAGCACTGATGAGGTGGAGGATGAAGTATGAAGTGGTAGATAATGGAGACCAGAGAACTCATTTGGGAGATGTCTGCTTCATGCAGACAGTTCAGTGTCATGCTTCATTTCATCTTTTGAGAGAGATGCAAATGAGCAAAAAACAAACTTACAAAAGGGACTTTTTACAGAAAACGATTTCAAGTGTTAGTATCCATCCAGTCCTGCCTATACTACATCCCTGTCACAAAACAGCAGGTGTTTCTTGACTCCTCATCAGCACACAAAAGGTCACTTCCCTATGGGAAAACAGGGAACTACTAAAACATTTTAGAAAAATCCCCCTCATATGATAACATTTTATAAAGTAAACAATAGGGTTTAAATTGCTGTTACAGGGAACTACTAAAACATTTTAGAAAAATCCCCCTCATGTGATAACATTTTTATAAAGTAAACACAATAGGGTTTAAATTGCTGTTATTTAAACATTCTACCTTTCTAAAGTACCACACTAGCTGGTTAAACAAGGTGCCAACTAGAGAAGGTATTTCTGTGATAAGGTTAAATACTCCCAACTCAGAGAATACTGTAGTGTGTGTTGCATGAACATGGTGAGATAATTCACAGACATGGACAGGTTAATCATTTTATTTATATCAGGTTCTTCTTTAACTTATAGTCGTATTGGATCTCACATCAGGTTCTTTTTCCTTTGTAGGGTTCCTTTAGCCAGCAGAGCTTACATCAGGACAGCAGGACTGAGGTCTACCATAGCATGGGCAATGGCCTCTGTCGCTGAAATTAAGGTAAGGAAAATGTTTTCATTCTGGTTAATACATTAGTGAGGTTCTTTCCGTAACTAACTTACACAGTCTCTTATTTATGGACATCTTGATTGCTTGCTTTTTTTTCTGTTCTCTTTTTCTTTTATCATTTTCTTTTGCTAGTTTTGTTCGTTTGTTTTTGTCATTGCCATTATGCTTACGAAGTTCTTCAGTGATATGTTTTTAAATATTGTTGAACTTCTGAGAGTATTTTGCCTATGAAAAAGCTGGGTTAAAAGATAGCCACATTTTATTCTTCCTAATATTTTGTGTTACAATGACGTGGCCTGAAAAACCTCTACTTCTTAAAATTTAAGTTTTTCTCCTGTGACCAAATATTGATTAATTTTTATAAATGTTCCATGGACATAAAAAAAATTTATTTTGTAGTCAATGTCCTCGCTATCTTTGCCTACTCTTTTACTATCTGCTTACTTTTGGAAGGTATTTGAAATATCATTGATTTTTTTTTAAGTTTTTGCATTTTTATTAGTGGATGCCTTATTCAGTAGTTTGGTATAAACAGTCTGCTATTGCTTCATCATGAGTTGTACCTTTTTATCGTTACGTAAGTTTTCTTTATCTTAAATAGTGAGTTAAAACCTAAACTTTATCATGTGTTATTAATATTTTCACTCCTTTATCTTTGTATTTGCCTAATACGTCTTTGATCCTCCCTTATTTTCAACTTTGCTTTCAGTGAGTTTTTACAAACACAAAGCTCTGTTTGTATCCCACTCTGATGGTCTCTGGCTTTCGATGAGAGAACTCAGTATAATGACAGACACACCTGATTGTATTTCTCCTATTTCACTCTGGTTATAACTTCTTATCGTTGACTGTTTTTATTTTTGCTAGTTTGATCAAGTTACTTCATAATCATTTCATTGTTCTCCCTGAGGTTGGAGATTTTACTTTTTTGTCTAGTCCATGAACAGTCCCCTTTCCCAGCTCTCTTAATTAAACACACAGGACTCTACTATTATTTTAAAGCAAGATATCTACTCCTTCCTCTGCCAAGATAGTTTTTACCACCAAGACATTCTAGTCTTCCCCTTTGTTCCTATGATAAGATGAGGCCTCTAGAGTACTGCTTCCTCTCCTCCTGGCCTACCTTTCCTCCTCCCTGCAGTGAGACCTTTGAACGATTTCATCTTTCACTCCCAACCCCAACTACTAGATTGAACTGAATTATTTATCATATATCAGATTTCCCTTAAAGTATGTCCCTTCTGTTTCAAAAGTTCTTATTTAGCCCTTATATTACACAGCCTATCCTTCATTATTAAGATAGAATTGTATGTAGCAAACACATATTTCTGTGCAAACACACAAAGATATATCGCAGGGTGTATCACTCCTCACCATGCTCCACATTGTCTTGTCTTTCCCCATTTGAGGTCTCTGCTCAGGTTTGTTTATTGCTTGGTTACGGTCTTGGCTTAGGTATTTTCCTCACATGTGGTATTTTAATAATTTACTATCTGAATTTCTATATATCTCAGATCCCTTTCATCCTGGTGGGCATGCCCTTCTTGGCTTGAGTTGGAGTCCTTTTCTCTCGGATGTCGATAGGTGCTGTCCGTTGTCTTTTAGCTTCCCGTGTTGCAGCTGAGTTGTCCGTGCCAGTATGGTTTTCTTTTCCTTTATAGCTACCTTGTTCTTTCTGCTCAGCAGTTCATAAAACTTTCCTCTTTAGTCCTATAAGGTTCAGGAATAGTACCAGGATATACTTCTATAAATGCCTTTTCTATTCAGCCCGCAACTCGGTGAGTCTGACTGCCTGGGTTCTAATTCTGGTTCCACCACTTACTGGCAGGGAAACCTTGGGCAAGATACTTAACATCTTTGTTCCTCAGCTTCTCATTTGCAAGATGAAAAGAAAAATTTCATAAAGTCATGTGAGAATCAAATGAATTAGCATTTTTCAAGTGATTTCACAGTGCCTACCATGAGAAAGTGTATAAATATTAGCTACTTTTATAGTAATAATTATAGTTATACTTATTTGGAATAGCTAATGACTATTAAAAATTTTATTATTATTTCTCTAGCTCAGGTACTTTTTCTCATTATTTATTACCTCAACTGCTTTGCGTTAGTGACTTTAACCTTAAACTACTCTGTTCTCCGTTCTGAAATTTTTTCTCTCTTTCTTTCTCTCTCAGGACATTTTGTTTCTTTCCATTAGGTACCCTCTGGCTTTGACTGAAACCTGACCATCCACTGAGCATTCTGCTTCCTCTGTAGACATATCAAGGGACCACTGGGCCTGGAGGTGGGGTAGGTGTCCTGCTTGCTTGTTCCTTTTGCCCAAAGCCTCTCAGTGCCTCTGAGGCACATGCCATCAGGTTATTGCAGTTACACACGGATCTCTTCCTGTCATTTCTGTAAGAGTAGGAGACCTTATTCCTGTTATAATTCTCTACGATCCCAATATCCACTTTGGAACCTGGCCCCTCAAGGTCTTGGCTTCCTACCTCTAATGACCTGCCTTAGTCGCATCCTAGACCTTCTTATACCCAGAAGGGAATGCCCCCCAAAATCTCAATGTCATGAGTCCTCTCTTAACCACTTTTCTTTCCTGCTCACATCCTCCAGCTCCCTAACATAGTTCTTTAACCTCTTGGACCTCCAGTCATTTGACCCACCCCTGCCCATTACTTACCACCTGTCCTCCTCCCCAGCCCACAGCTTGAATTTTATCTTCTACCGTTACAATCGTTCCCTTGCCTACACTTTCAACCCTCCTGATTCTTATATGACTTTAATACTAGAATCAGAAGTGAACTTCAACATGTTCTCCTCACCAAATCTACCAATGAACCAGAATCCATACCCACATACGTTGCCCTTGTTTCACTCCATTACTTGTGGACTGGATTTTGGTCCCTGTTACCTATATAAGGACTTTCTCTCTACTGGTCATTCTCATCAGTGGGAACACTTGCTGTATAATATCTTGCAACTTGAAAAAAATTCTTCTCCTGAAGCCACATGCTCCTTCAGCTACCACCCCGTTCTGTTTTCTTTTACGGAAAAACTCATAAAACTAGTTGTCCATACTTGCTGTCGCTCCCTCTTTTCTTCCCATTCTCTCTTGTGCCCACTTCCATCAGGCTTTCACCAGCACTTCCCTGACACCGCTCATCTCACACTTACCCTACCAGCACTCCGACACCTGCAGCTCCCTCCTCCTTGAAGTGGTCCTTCCAGTTTGTTTCGGGAAGATCATTCTGGTTTCTCCTCCTACATGAGCATGTGCAGCTCTCAGCATGCACTGCTGCATCTTCATCTACCAACGTTGTACTTAAGAGATCTCCAGGATCCAACCCTTCGACTTTCCTTTTTAACTTCTCTCGCCTCCTGGATGACTCATCCAGTTCTGGTGCTTTAAGTACCATCTGTAAACTAACACTGATGCTCCCAAATGTGTATCTGTAGCCTGAACCTCTCCCCTGAACTCCAGACTCATATGTCTAGTGACTCACTTGGTCTCTATAGTTGGTCTAGGAGTATCTCAAAATTAACATGCCCAGAACTGTACTCTTGTCTCCTTTGAAGCTTCTCCTCCCCAGTTCTTCCCACCTCAGTAACAGGCACCTCTGCTCTTCCAGGTGCACAGGTCAAAGCTTTACTCATTTCAGACTGTTGTCATACTTCAACATTCCACATCCGATCTAACCTGTTGGCTCCACCTTTAAAATATATCCAGAATCCTACCAACCACTTCACCCCACTTCCACCAATGCCACTCCTTTTTGTTGTTGTTGTTAATCCTCACCCATGGATATTTTTCCATTGATTTTTAGAGAGTGGAAGGGAGAGAGGAAGTGGGGAGGGAAGAGAGAGAGAGAGAGACATCTATGTGAAAGAGACACATCAGTTGGTTGCCTCCTGAACACGCCCCAATGAGGTTAGGGATTGAACCTGCAACCCAGGTACATGCCCTTGACTGGGAATCAAACCCACAGCCCTTTGGTGCACAGGCCGCCACTCTAACCACTGTATAACACCGGCCAGGGCAACCACTCTTATTATAAGCTTCTGTCATCTCCTGGACCCCCTAACCAGCCTCCTTGTTAACACTCTTACCCTTCTGTTCTATTCTCAACAGATCATTTAGAATGATCCCTCTGAAATGTAATGTTATGTTACTTCTCTGCTCAGAACTCTCCAATAGTTCTCCATCCTTCAGAATAGAATCAGAATCCTTACAGTGTCTACCAGATCTCCGCTGCCTAAGGTTTGGACATTGCTACTACAGGCAGCAGACACCAGCCCATCTTGATGGAATCACCTGCCAACCTCTCTGATACGATCACCACTCTTTCCCTCTCACTCAGTGTGCTTTGGCCATACTGGTCTCCTTTCTAATCTTTTAACATGCCAAGTATGTACTTGCCTTAGGGCTTGAACTACCTGAAATTCCTGAAGTGTAAAAAGGAATCTTTACTCTTAAAATATTGATTCCTCAAATGTTAGGTCTCTTCTTTTATAATGCCTGTTAGATTTAATAGTACCAAATCAATATTTCTGTCTATAGGCTGGTGCATTTGTTTTAGATCCAATGTGTGGACTCGGAACAATACTTTTGGAAGCAGCTAAAGAATGGCCGGTAAGTTCTAAACTTTGGTAAACTAAGAAATATATTCACTTTAATTGGTATATGTATGTTTAGTTACCAGTTATTTATAAATAGATTATCTTTGGGGGATTATTATTTTAATTATATGAGTCACTATTTACTATTGTCAAATGGCTTATGAAGGGTTAATTAAATTGCTATGTTATTTTTAAAAAATAGTATGATAAATTTAGCAAGATATGAGTAATCTTAATTAGTCATGACATTATGCTAATCCCTAAATTCTTTAGGCATTTGTAACTGTAAAATATTGTTAATAGATTTTAAAATTTTTACTACTATCATTTTAAAGCAATACTATAAATTTGTTTCAACCTGAATGAACAAATCTATTGACTTCACTTTCATTATTTGAGAAAATGGCAGTAAGTTTTCTTAACTTCAGGAAATATCTGATAGTTTTATTTCTGCTTAAAATAAGAATGTCTTTCCCCATAGGATGTGTACTATGTGGGTGCTGATGTCAGCGACTCACAGTTACTAGGTGCGTGTGACAACCTGAAAGCTGCAGGCCTCACGGGTAAAATTGAGTTACTTAAAGTCTCTGTTATAGGTAAGATATTAAAATGCTTATTCAGCATTTGGGAAAATGAACATATGTAATTATTCCTCTGGATAAACCATTTTTCAGCCTCTTGCAAGCCCTCACTATTTGTAGATACAAAGGCAGGAGAGAGCTATTGGAATGACAGCTGTTTAGAAGCCTTCAGTCTTGGGTAGAGTCCGGTGAGAGGATGAGACTCTAGAATGTGAGATTCTCAAGGACAGAACTAATGGCTGTCTACCCTTATGGGAATACTGAGTGTGTGAGTTAATGGTGGCACGCAGGGTATAGTTATGACAGGGAGTGATGGATTCCCCATCTATGGGGCTGGGATGCTTCTATTGGCCTGAACATCTGTTGCAGGGATCACGCTAGAGCAGCAGTTCTCAACCTGTGGGTCGCAACCCCTTTGGGGGTCGAACGACCCTTTCACAGGGGTCGCCTAAGACCATCGGAAAACACATATATAATTACATATTGTTTTTGTGATTAATCATTATGCTTTAATTATGTTCAATTAGTAACAATGAAATTGGGGGTCACCACAACATGAGGAACTGTATTAAAGGGTCGCGGCATTAGGAAGGTTGAGTACCGCTGCACTAGTCAATGTTTATTTTTAAATTGCCAGTGCACATCATATGTACTGGCCAGAGGGTTGGACGGACAGACAGTCGGTCACTTAGCCTTTTATATATATATATAATCATCTAAACTCTTTTGATGAAGCAACTGAATTAAAGAATCTCATTCTCCAAAATAAAAAAAAATAAAAAATTCAATGAAAGCTGTGGCTCATCTCCCTTAAAAATAAAAAGATATACACATGCAAAATTTTATATATAACTATGAAAGGGAAATGAAAGTTATAGAATATAATTTTGTAAAAGGTTTTTCTAGACAATTTAATGGATATCTTCTTGGATCTGTCTGGCAATTTTCTAGTAATGTACTATGTTTAGAGAATTGAATTTTCTGGTTAATTTAAAATTCTGCTTAACATATCATTTTATCATACCTGAAAAACCAATTTTCAAAGAACAGAACATAATTGCTGTACCATTTACCTTCAGTGATTCTGAGATCCTTTTAGAAACTTGTAATTTCTTAGAAACAATATCAGCTAACCTAAATTTTATTTAATATGCAAAAATAATCCTGCATATTTTAATTTTCTCATCTTCAGATTATAAATACTTGAACTTACTTAATAGGATTCTCTGATTTCTGTATTTCAGAATTGCCATTGCCTTCAGAAAGTGTCGATATTATTATTTCTGACATTCCATTCGGGAAAAAGTTTAAGTTAGGGAAAGACATCAAAAGCATTCTACAAGAAATGGAAAGGTAAGGTGTTGAATTTATTTCAGTAATTTTGAGCTATTGGGCATTTCACCAAAATATATTATAGCTCTTCAGTTAAGATTTGATTGCATTTTAATAATTTCCTAGAGTTTTTGTAGCTTAATTTTCTAAGGTTTTAAATCAGAAGTTTATGACTGAGAGAAAAGCAGTGGCTGCTTTAGATAGATAGTGGGGGAAGGCTCTCCAAGGACATGGTAGTTGAACTCTGGGACCTCAATAATGAGAAGGCACATAAAGGAATGAGTGTTAAGTGCAGACCGACCAACAAGGTCAAATGTTCTAAGATGAGAAAAAGCTTATTGAGTTTGAGCAACTGAAGGAAGTTCAATTGCTCAGACCGTAGTGAGCAAAGGAAAGCAAGCAGGCAATGGAGTGGCAAAGGTAGGTGAGGGTCAGATCGTGTAGGAGTTTAGAATTTATTTGCAGTATAGTGGAAGCGAGAGTTAGCAGGGATTTACTTTTGTTTTCTATGTGGAGACTGGGAAGGGAGAGTGGAAGGAGCAACGAGAGTAGAAAGGAGATTGTTGCCATAGTGCAGCCAGATTTGAGGATGGGAGTGCTGTAGATGCAGTGTCCTTTAGAGACAGACTTATCTGGATTGCTGACTGTCCTGACATCTCTGCTGGGTGCGGGGAGATCCTCCTTAACTCTTGGTTCTCTAGCTGTCACACTGGTTCCTTACCTACACAGCCAAACTGCTTGACAGTAGTCTGCCCTTGACATCTCTGATCTTCACCTTCCAGTCCCCTCCTGGTTCCAGCCAACCAGCACCTGCTCCTGCCCTCAAGTCAGATTGTTCTCTCCAGGTTCACTGGTGACTTCTTATAACCGTAGTCACTTGTTAGTCCTGTAGCATTTGACACTGTTGAGACCATTCCCTTCTTGAACTCCTTTGGCTTCCATGACATCACTTTTGTCTAGATTTCCCCTAGGGTTGTGTTTCATGGGCTCTTCCCTTCTATCCTTACTTTTTAAGCCTCTATTCCTTGGCCCCTTTTCGCTTCTCACTGTGCATTGCCACCTCAGATCATCTTATCCACCATTATGGCTTTATCTTCCATTTACTATGGAGAACTCTAAAATCTCCACCTCGAGCCTGGTCTTTCTCATTACCTCCAGGCTGTATATCCAGCTGCCAATTAGAACCCACACTGATATCCAAACAGAATTCTTTTCCTCCCTCCTCCTCCCATCACCCTCTTATTCACCCTCATGCCAAACTACTGTCAGTGCCGCCGCCTTTACTCCTCCCTGTCTCTGATGCTTCCTCTGCCTCCAACACCCTCCCTCGCTCCAGCCCCTAGTTGTCACTTGGCCTGGCTCACCTGCTTATCCTTTAACTCGCAGTGTAGGTTTGGGATCCACGCTTTGCTGGCCTCTCCCCTACTATTCAGTAATCTCTTTAGCAACTCAGGACTGTACGTCATTCACGACTTTTCCACATAAGTACTCTACAGACTTTGGCCAGAGGATTTAGTAAATGAATTCTCCTCAACAAGCTGATATTTTAAGGTCTTCCCTTTTGCCAATCCTTTGTTCTTGTCTTCTTTCTTTCCTGGTGGTTTTCTTCTGCCATCAGCCAAGTGCCTTTGATATATGCTGATTCTTTAGGATTTTTTCATTGGCCTTTCCTTTTGTACAATCACTTATTAGAATATTATTATAAATTACTTTGAGGCTTGCCTTTTAAGTAGAGTAAAAATAGATAATTAAAGCAGATTTGTACTAGCGATTCCATAATTACTATAATGAATATGCATTATGAAAGATACTGCCTAATTATCAAAATTCCTGTATTTAAATAGATAAAATTAAATTTCAAATTAAAAATGCCAAATATTTTAAATAAAGTGGGATTGTTTATTATCTGAAAAGGAGGAAATGCTCATACCAATATCACTTTTTGTCACAGAGTGCTTCATGTTGGGGGGACCATTGTATTGTTGCTTAGTGAAGATCACCGTAGGCGCCTCAAAGACTGTGAAGGGAGCAGCTTCCCTTTGAATTCCAAAGGCAGCCACTCTGATGAACCTGGAGCGGAAAAGTGCTTGATTCTCGAAGGAAAAACTGGCATATCAGAGACCGTGTCATCGTCATTTGAAGCCAATCACCAGGAATGCTTACATAAGATGCCACCATTTGGCTCCTTGGTGCCAGTGGAATGCTACAAAGTTAGCCTTGGGAAAACAGATGCATTTATACACAAATATAAGAAGTCATCTTCTTCTGGACTGTAGCAGGCTAGATACTGTGAGCCAAGTTCAAGGCCTTACATGTCAGCCCTACAGAGAGGGGTTGCCTCTAGGGTCTGATAGTGCCACAGAGTAACAAGTAGACAGGTCCAGGGGGCATGGCTGTGGAACACAGGATTTTAATAAGAGTTTCTGCTTTAGGCTCTATCCGCAAACTCATTAGTCAACAGAGCCAAATATCAACAGTACAACGATTGAAATTTCTTTTGAGAGCCAAATTTTTTAAACTTAAACTATATAGGTAGGTACATTGTTATTAACTTAATTAGGGTACTCCTAAGGCTTAGGAAGAGCCACACACAAGGGGCCAAAGAACCGCGTGTGGCTCGCAAGCCGCAGTTTGCCGACCACGTCTCTAAAGGGCTTAATGTTTCTGACAAAGAACAGTGAATACATAATTAAACTAAAATACTCTTAAACTTTGTATTTGAGAGAATAGGGAAAGGTCTGCTCTGCCTGCAGTGTTTGAGCTGAAGCTGCAACATCACAAGTTTTCAGAGGTTCACAGAGCATATCAAAATCATCACAAGGTTGATAATATTTTAACTATCAGATTGTTTTGAATTTAGAAACTTTTATGTTAATTCTTTTGATATCAAACTTGATTTTTGAACCTATAATTTTTTTTCTCCACTGGAATGAAAATGTTATGTGCAATACATTTTGTATGTTATATGTCTCATACTATGTGAAACATCAATGGGAATAATAACAATCTGAATTAAGCCAATATCCTCCAACATGGTAGAAAATAGAGTTTGCTTTTTTTTTCCTCAACTAATGAATAAACTGTTACCTCACTCTTCTTTAAATTAAATGCAGTCCTTGTGTTCACTACTTGAGAAGAAGAAACAGGAGAGGCCAATGTGGCTGCAGTAGAGTGAGCGAGCTGGAGAACGAGAGCTTAAAGACTGCGTGAGTGGCAGTTGGGGATGGCAGGTTAGATTTAAGGCCTTGAAGGCTGTTATTTTGACTTGGACTCAAAGCCACTGGAGAGTTTTGAACAGGCAGTAATCTAACATACATTTTACAGGATCACTATGACTGCTGTATTGTGAATCAATTATAGAGCGACAAGAGTAGAAGTAGAGAGGCCCGTTGAGTGGTTTTTGCAATAATCCAGGCAAGGGAAAACAGTAGCTTGCCCCAGGATGGTAGCAATAAAAGTGTAAGAGGCAGCTGAATTCTGAATGTATTTTCAAGGTAGAACCAACAGGATCTACTGATGTGTGTGTGGTGTGACAGATGGAGAAGAGACAGAAATGACTGCAAAATTTTGGCCAAATACCTGGAATAATGGAGTTTCCACCAAATAAGAGGGAAAAGGCCACAAGAAGGACAGGTTAGGTGGGAAACGTCAGAAGTACAGTTTTAGACTTGCTGTTTTGAGATGTGTATTACACCAAGTGGAGATGTTGAGTAGGCAGTTGAATATATGAGGATGCAGTTTAAGAAAAAGTCTGCTCTGGAGATACAAATTTGAGGATTTTCAGCGCGTAGGTGCCATAAAGCTGAATTGGATCACCCCCCAGGACTGTGTGTGGGAGAGAAAGGAAGGGAGTAGGGTTGGTGTCTCCAACACTAAGAGGTTGGGAGCAGAGGAGGAATGATTGAAACTGGAGGAAAACAAGAATGGTTGCCTGGAAGGCAAATGAACAAGACACATGGTAGAGACAGTGATGAACTATTAAATACTGCTAGCTATCCAAGTCACATAAAGACAGGAAATTGACCATTGATGTAAACAATGGGAAAGTCATTCCTGACAATGGGAGTTTTGGTGGAGTGGAGGAGAAACAAAAACCAGACCTGATTAGGCTTAACAAAACAGGAAAAGAGCTGGAGGTAGTATAGACAACTCATTCACCTAGTTTTGCTAAAAAGGGAGAAAATGAAGGTAGTATGTTTGTAGGGTGTTTGGAATCAAGACAATGATTTTTTTTTTTTTTAATGTTGACAAACTGTTCCAGGAAAGATGAAAAACTGATGAAGTAGGAAAAAGGGATAAATGCTGGAGAAGTGTCCTTGAATAAGAAGAAAACAGTCTGCACAAGGAGGAATAAGCTTTCGATAAGGGCATGAATAATTTCTCCATGGTTACGAGTGGGAAGGCAGTATACAGGCATTTCTGCAATAACATGATAAATGTGCTCCTGAAAATTTTTTTATTCTCAAATTCATGCACTAAAAATAACAATTTATGGAAAAAATCCGGTTGGAGCCAACTGTTCCAAACCTTCCTAACTTTGCAACCTGCGTACTAGCAAAAACACCAATCACCATAGTTATTTAAAAACAGATATATTTATAATAAATACATCAGTAAATAAAGAATTTCACTCCCCAAAAAAGGGCAAAGATAGCTTGATAGAATCTTATGGAAAGGTAGAAGCTGCTAAGTTGTAATATAAGCACTTACAAGACAGAACCTCTGGCCACCCTGACCCAAGAAAAGGAAGGTGCAGTGAATAGGCATCCTGTAAAGTACCTCATTCTATAGCTTGTTCATTTGAATTATTCCACTGGTGTCCTTCACATTCAGCTGCTCTTATCCAGTGGCACAAAACATTAATTGTACTGGGGGGAAAAGTCACTTATGAACCCACCCAATTTCCACATTACAGTGACATCATCCCCCAACTGAGCCATAATATATGAGTTAACATTACAGAAACATGCATTGTAGAACAGACCACAAGTGGAAGCAGATGCTGGAAGGTGGGCAGATGTGGTGAAGGTAGACTGTTCAAGTTCTCTTCCGGCTGCTTCCATTTTCTCAGTGAAAAATTATGTGGTAATTTCCCCAGTTCCTGAGTCTAAGTGGGAACAGCTCCCCTCGGCAATTGCAGAATCCCCACAGTAGCTTCCGACCCATAGAGGAAGGATGTCCATGACTGGAGGGTCAAGGTCATACTCCTTAGGCTCTGCTTGCAACCAAAATAGCCAAACAAAAGCAATACCATATCTTTGTAGGAACTGCAGCTCTTAGTGCCACCGTAGATGCTTAATGGAACTCTTTGGCATTTGAAAATCAACCTATGTCACCTTTGGGTTTGCTGCTCTGACTCAGTTACTTTTAATGGAGGCCTGGGCCAGAGAGGGCTCTCCAGCTGGTCCAGGCCCACTGTAAGCAGCTCTGCATTTCTGCCCTTATGACCTAGGAGGTCTCAGAATGTCTGTGGCTGACCATGAATGCTGTGTGGAGCCTGCAGCGAGTCCTAATAGAGCAGTGGTTCTCAACCTTCTGGCCCTTTAAATACAGTTCCTCATGTTGTGACCCAACTATAAAATTATTTTCGTTGCTACTTCATAACTGTAATGTTGCTACTGTTATGAATCGTAATGTAAATATCTGATATGCAGGACGGTCTTAGGCAACCCCTGTGAAAGGGTCGTTCGACCACCAAAGGGGTCGCGACCCACAGGTTGAGAACCGCTGTAATAGAGGAAGTACAGCTGCAGCCTCAGCTTTTGGAGCAAAGCCAAGCTCTCTTATGCAAGTAATTATTCTCCTTTTGGAAATAATTCTTGACTTGCTACTGAGGGCTTGACCACAGGACACTGAACTACCCATCTTGAACTGGGAGTGATTTGGTCTACCAAGCCAAGTTTAGTGGGCCCAGCCCTGCATCACGCCCTCTTCAGGTGGAAATGGAATATGTCAGCACTGAGCTCCAGGTGCCCGAGGGTCCTGGTGATATGCTGCAGCAGTCAGAATGGTATCCTGCGATGTGCCTCCTGCCTGCCTCGGTGCTACCCTCCCTCACAACCATTGTCTCATGGGGAATTCCCAATGAGCAGTTTGCCAAGGAGGTAAAAAGTCAAATCTGGTTTACAGATCGCTCTGCAAGTTTTTCTGGAATTTAACTGCTGGGGCATTTCGGCCCCACTGGGGCTGAGGGACAGTGGGGAAATGAAACCTCCCCAGGGAGCAGAACTGAGAGGGGTCCACATTGTACACTTTGCTGAAGGAGAGAAGGCCTGAGAGGTGGATGCTCCCCATGTCATGACACTAGCTACCTGTTTGGAAGGATGGTCAGCAACATAAAGGATGTCTGAGGAAAAGGACGATGGATGGACATCTCAGGACAGGACCAAGTATGGAAGGATCTTTGTGACCCACTGGGATTGTTAGGAGTTCCCACTGTGGGGGAGGTCTGAGTGTGCAGGAGGAAGATTGCCTGCCTGTCTTTCCCTTTCCCCAGCCACCCTCGCTCAGTGGCCTCATGAACAAAGTGGCCATGGTTTCGGGGACAGAGATAATGCTTTGGCCCAATAGGGACTTCTCCTCAGCAAGGCTGGTTAGTTTTCAGCAGCAGTGACTACCCCTGAGACTTGTTTTAACACCACAGCCAGGAGGGAAATTGTAGTGGAGGGCAATGATTTGTCCTCACTGGAAAAACTACTCTTTCTTGATTTGGATTCTCAAGTCGCCTTTCGTGGACTTACCAAATTGCCTTATTCATTATCATTTCTTTGCACGCAACAATGCTTCTCACCAAAGTTCACTTACAGTGGAGACTTGTTTTAACACCACAGCCAGGAGGGAAATTGTAGTGGAGGGCAATGATTTGTCCTCACTGGAAAAACTACTCTTTCTTGATTTGGATTCTCAGGTCAGCAACGCCTTTCATGGACTTACCAAATTGCCTTATTCACTATCATTTCTTTCCACACAACAATGCTTCTCACCAAAGTTCACCTACAGTAAAGTGAGACAATAGATAGGCTTGCCTGCAACAAAGGGCCCTGTGGCTTGGTGGAACAGCCCATTATTGTTCCCGCAGAGAGAGAATTCCTTGAGGGTGAGATGCCTCCCTACAAGATGTTAGATGTACTATGACCCAGCGACCAATAGATGGTGCTCTTTCTCTCAAAGTCAGAATAAAGGGCCAATGGGTGAAAGTGGGAGGGGTACCTGTTACCAGATCACCTCTAAGTGAGCACCATAATGGGACCTACTTTCTGGAAGGGTGACAGCCAAAGCATCTGGCCTCTGGGTCAGCAGGGACAGAGCAGCATTTGGGGCTCACTATCACTGGTGCAAGCTAGGGTGTGAGTGCCTAGCAGAGGCTGCAATGGGTCATACGGTTGGATGGTGGTCCTGCTCAGATAGCCACCCAGACTAGTTTTCTGGCCCTGTTGAACATCTTAACATTTTTAAATAAACCCCTTTGTCGCTAAACTTCCTGGAGTAGATTCTGTTCATTGTAA